GAGCTGTCCAGCAGGGGCCGTATGCGGAGCTCCCTCAGGGGAGCGAAGCGCATGCAACTTTCCCGCCTCGACCGTGCACCCGCGGAGCTCACTGCGGGGGGCTTCGAAATGGACGGCGCCGCCATGCGGACCCTTCCGCTGAGGCTGTATCTGGAGCTCCCAGATGGGGCCACGACTCTCGTGAAGGCTGCGCTGAAATGGGTGGCGCCGCCATGCGGACGCTGTCACTGGGGCCGTAGCTGGAGCTCCCTGCACGCCACGACCCCTGTGAGCGGCGTGCTGGAAGGGCCGGTGCCGCCATACGGGCGCCCGACAGAGTTGCCTATGGGGCCATGCAACGTTTGATGGGGAGCGACGGGATGGGCTGGGGGGCGCTATGCGGTCGGTCCCTCTGGGGCATTCGGTAGAGCTCCTCATGAGGCCACGGAGTATGTGGGGAGGGTGTCGAAACGGGGTGGGGAACGTTGTGTGGCCCAGCCCCCTGGGGGCTGCGGCGGGGCCCCCTTAGGGCCACGACACGTGGGAGGGGTGTGCCGAAATGGGCTGGGGGACACTGCGGACCAGTGGAGCTCGCTATAGGGGGCCACGGAGCGTGTGGAGAGGTGTGCCGGAATCAGCATGCCGAGGGCAGAAGCAGGGAGGGGGGGAGGGGGGAGGGGGAGGAGGAGAGGACGAGGGGAGAGAGAACCACCACTGCGGACAGCTGTCCGGGCCTGCTCGAGACCTGGTGGAGGAGGCCGTAGCCTCTTCAAACCTGCACGTATGGGCTACACGCGATCATGCATATGGACAGCGAGACAATAAAAACAAATCTGCGACGGAGGAGGGGAGGAGGGAAATCCTGGATGTGGATGTCGGCGTAGTGTCGTTACGTGGGGTGTGCGTATTGCCGTTCGAGTGTCGACCAGGTGGTGGTGTCTTGGGCGCTGTGGACTGAGAACGGGGACCCAGCTCCACACAGGATGGCTGGGGAGAGAGCTCCAACGAGCACCGAGGAGGCCGTGCTGAGGGCCAGCCCGGGCTCGGGAGGGGTCCTGGCCCTCGGGCTGCTCCTCGGATCTGCCCGTGCGAGGCCGGTCCTCGCCGGGGCCAGGAGGGCCCCGCTCGCTGCTTGCTCGGCGCTCCCTCCTGTAACCGGACAAGCGCGTCCCACTACTCGCAGGGGGAGTTTCGATATATATATATATATATATATATATATACACACACACACCAAAAAAAGGCATCAGACGAATGGCTCTCCGACCGCTTGAGAGTAGGCACTCTGCGAGTCGTGGAGCGCGCTCGGCGAATGACACGAGGGGGGGGGGCACGCTGCAACAACAAAACACCTTGAGGCCAGGAGTCCGTGGACCTCGCGGCCAGGGGCGCGGGCCCTGCCGGGCGCACGGCCCCGCCCGAACCAGCACGGGGCTCCCCCCTCGCCCCCCTCCGGGTCCTCTCTCTCTCGCCCCGTCGCCCGGACACGTCCGCTCCCCGCGCGCGCTGCTCGGTCTCGCGCCTCCTCTTCGTCGCAGGATGTTCCAGGATGCTTTTGTCGAGGGCATTTGTCATGCCATTGTTTTGGCATTTGTTTTTTAACCAAGACTTTCACTCGACAAATTCCTTCCAGGATGCTCATCGAGGGCCCCTGCCGGGCAGAAGCGCACGCGTCCGAGCGGCGCCACGTCGGTCTCCCTCGCCCAGGTCACCTGGCCTGCCGCGTCGCGCCCCGCGGGGCGCGGCGCGCGGCTCTCTGTCTCTCACTCTCTCTCTTTCTCTCTCTCGCTCTTTGCGCCCTCGCCCCGCCTTCTGGAGGAGGAGTGTCGGATGTAGCCCAGCGGCCACGGCCGCGAAGAGCGCGCGAAGCACAGTCATCCTCGCGCCGCTGGGGGGTGGCCTGGTTCCCCTTCTCGGCGATCCCGGACGGAGCACGTTGGACGACTTGGGCGGAGGAGGAGGAGGAGGAGGAGGAGGAGGAGGAGGAGGACGAGGAGGAGGAGGACTGCTTGCCATCTCGAGACGTTCCCGTGGACACCGCGCCTCCGCGCACGGAGGTTGTGTGCTCCACGCTGTGGTGTCGACACTGACGCTGATGAAGCATGATGTCGATGACAATGCTAAGGGGGCCTGGGACATACAAATAAATAGAAACAAATAACAGGATGCCCCGTATTTGCCAATATTTTCTGGGTTTTCGTCTTCCCCACAAATTCCAATAATTTCAAATATTTTCCTGGGAATCGACGATTCATTGTCAGTGTGTTTTTTCCCCTCCTGAACTGATGCTGATGAAGCATGATGTCGATGACAATGCGGACGATCAAGACGAGGACTTGTGCCTCCGATGCTGCTCTCTGCGTTGTGCTGAATCTGCAGCCGCAGAACTCTCGACCCTTTCCCCGGAACCGAATTCCATGCTCTGGTTCATTGAACGACGTGTCCGTACCTACGCCCGGTGAGGGAGCCAGGCCCCCCGAAATCGGCAGCCCACCGTGACCCCCCCATCGTGAACTGTGTG